GGATAAGTGCAAGGCCGACGTCCTGAACCACCCTCTGTACGACCAGCTGCTGGCGGCTCACGTCTCCTGCCTCAGAATCGCCACCCCCGTCGACCAGCTCCCCAGAATCGACGCTCAGCTCGCCCAATCCCAAAGCGTCGTCTCTAAGTACTCCCTTCTAGCTCAGGCCCACCCTCCTTTGGATGACAGAGACCTTGATCTATTCATGGTATATTATTCCTCTCTTTTTCATTTTTTAAATTTGAAAAAGGAACCCTATACCTTCGAAATTCAGTCTTACTAATCTTCTATATTTGAACTCCCCTACTTATTTTTTCTAAGACCCCAACTTTTCTTGGAACTGAATCATTCACATTACTGTAACCAATCCAAACAAAAAGCTTAAGTAGGTTGTTAGAGGCCCTAGAAAAGAAAAGGTTCTTGTGCTCTATTAATTCTCCAATGTGTTTCTCTATAGTACTATAATTATACAAGTGTGCGCCAAAGAACAAACCAAATGTAACCCCCCTATGCATATATATTTCAAAGGTGTGTGCTTTAGATCACTAGTCTTGGTTTCTCTTTCATATTTTCGTTTCTTTGAGCAAACAAAAATTTTCCATTGAGTTTTGGGGTGGGATAAGGCCTGGAGACGGGGAAGTCGTTCGATTCAAGAATACGAATCGTTGCGATAATTATCTTGTTTCTTCATTTACAAAAATGGAGCATTAAATGAGCAAAAGCTGTATGTAGGTGTGTTATTAGCTGGACTATCTATCTGTTACCAGTATATATCATAAATAAGGACCAATTAGTGAGGCTGACCCATGGAGTGCTAAAAAAAATCTATATCTTGATGGCATGTTTCCCACTTGTTATTTGGTCTTTTCCTTGTTATGTTATGCTCTCTAAGGTCTTCCAAAAGTGGACAGATTTCAAAACATCATTATTTTCTGTTGTGGTTATAATAGGGCAAATTTCTCTATTTGTGATTGCATATGCATTTTACCTTATGCACACATAATTGGCATCTACCACGGGCAGGAAATTATCTTGTTATGTTATGCTCTCTGTGGCATTCTACTGATCAACACATTTTCTCCTTGGTGTTTTTGTGTTCTCTGCAACTATTTCTTTCGTGTTGTTCCATGTTAACGATTAGATTTATCTCTCTTTTTTATGCTATTTAACATCAACTTTACCTTTTCCCCTTCCTTTCTTCTTTGTTGCATCTGATGTAGACACATTATGTTCTGTTGCTCTCCTCCTTTAAAGAACAACTGCAGCAGCATGTCCGAGTGCATGCTATGGAAGCTGTCATGGCCTGCTGGGAACTTGAGCAGTCTCTACAGAGCTTAACAGGTAGGTGGAATTGTTTTCTACTCGTACTTTTTATTGTTGTGTCCTCTCTACTTTCCCCATAATCCTCACTTGTATTTAATTTAACATATCATTCTATAATCATGCTCCCGTTATATGGATTGGAGCTTGTTTGGCAAGGGTGAATTTTTGGTGAAGTTGATGAATATGAAAAATGTATCGATGAAAAAAGGCTTAGATGATCAACTCTGGCCAAAAATGTACCTACCACACCATGAGGCTTGTTTGTCATGAGGCAGATTGGTTCAAGTATTTAACAACCAATGGCATAGATGCCCATCTAGTTTGAAATGTTTTTGTAGATCAAATTTATGTTTCTGGGCGTTCTCGTATTGACAATGAAAGATTGACAGGGGTAGCACCAGGTGAAAGTACAGGTGCAACGATGTCTGACGACGAAGATGAACAGGACGACAGTGACACCAACTTATTTGATGGAGGTCTAGATGGATCAGACACCATGGGTTTCGGTCCCCTGGTTCCTACTGAAACTGAGAGGTCACTTATGGAGCGAGTTAGACAAGAACTGAAGCATGAGCTCAAACAGGTATTTGAACATTGATTTTTTTTTCTCTTTCTTTGGTGAATTGTTGATAGTCCTCCTACCTGTTCCATAGTCTCAATGGTTTCCTGTCCTCCAGGGTTACAAAGAGAAGATAGGGGACATCAGGGAAGAAATTTTACGCAAAAGAAGAGCTGGAAAGCTGCCCGGTGATACTACTTCTGTCCTAAAAGCCTGGTGGCAGTCACACTCAAAATGGCCTTATCCAACGGTAAGGGCACGTTAGATAATGCACTATTAGACATTCCCCAGGGTCCTGAGTCCTAGAGTCCTAACTTAGTACTTCTCTTTGTTCACTTTTGCTTTAGGAGGAAGACAAGGCACGACTAGTGGCAGAGACTGGGTTGCAACTGAAACAGATAAACAATTGGTTCATCAACCAAAGGAAAAGAAATTGGCACAGCAATTCTTCCTCATCAACTTCTTCTCAGAAGAGCAAACGCAAGAGGTAGCAACGGGGTGACTCATGCTGACACATATATATTCTATTCTTTTTTTCCGCCTAATTAGCAGAAGCTCGAAATCTTTCTTCACACATACCAAACTCGATCCTTGGAAAAGTAGTGCAGGTGATAAATTAAGCGGCGAGCATTTCATGTGAGAAGAGACACCACCGGAAGGCACAAATGCTTAAAACAGAAGAGGATGCAAGAGTCTACCAAAAGGGGGGTGTGGCAAGCTTACAATTCTAAGACTTGTACTTGACTGGAGTATGCTGCCGTGTCATGAGTATAAGTGTATATACAGTAGCAATATTTTATTTTATTTTATTATTATTATTATTGTTGTTGTTGTTGTTGTTGGGGTGGTTGGTATGGCAGTGACATGCATCAACTTTCCTAAACGATGACTTTGGGGTTCACTTAGTTATCACAATTTTAGATGTAGATAATGACTACTTGCATCTCCAGTCAGTTTATTCATATATGTTTACATAAGACTACTTTAAGGTTGGATTGCACATTAACTGCATGTTTCGTGTGTGTGTGTGTGTGTAATTATTGGTATGCTAAGCATGCCAAATTTGTTTGTGCCAAAAGCCCAAAACCATGCAACTGGTGCATAAACTACCAAGGACTAAATAGCAAATGAAAAGAGGGATTATTCACATGAAACTTGATTGAGGGATAAAAACAATATAATTCTAATTGATCTTTTTTTTCCTAATGGCCCTAAGGACAGTTTGACTTTTAATTTCCTAGCTATCAGCTATGTAAGTTTTGACACTGATCAAATCAGTTGGAAAACAGAAGTGAAGAAGGGTGCTATAAATAAAAGATGTTAGTGCCTACGATTAAGTCCTAGGTTGTTGGGGTGGGGATTTTGCGGGGAAGTTGGCTGCCATAGCTCGCAACTCGTTGGCAATCTCCGTGAATGTTGGCCTTTCCGATGGTTCTGCAGACCAGCATCTCTCCATCAGTGCTTTCCAATCTGCGTCGCAAGTTTCCGGTACACGCGGCCGCAGTGTGTTGTTCACTATACCACCTGTCATCATCCCAAATCTCAATCTCAATCCAACTCAAATTAAAACTATTGATTTTATAAAAACTGTAAAGACATTTCAATTTATTTTTCAGCTAAAAAATGGTTGGTTATACCATGTGTGAAGAACTCACCAATTATGGCGCCATAGTGCAAGTCCACATAGGGCTCTTCCCCAGTCAGAAGTTCCCACATCACAATTCCAAATGAAAACACATCAACCTAAAGGCACAAAAAAACAAATGAAAATATTGACTCGTTGATTCTGGTGACTCAATAATCTTGAGCCAGACTGATTAATGGAGATATCAATACAAATATGATACGGAGTACGATTTAGATGAGAACCAACCTTCTCGCAGACAAGGCTGCTGCTGCCATTGAGAAGTTCAGGTGCCATCCAAGGGAGAGTTCCTCTCACCCCACCTGAGATTAATGTCTGGCATTTCACTTTGGACAGCCCCAAATCACCAACCTAAGCAGAGCAATAAAATGTAAGCCAGGGTTTTGATTCTTACTGATTTTGCATGATGAGTTGATAGCTCAGGGTGCAGGGAGCTACTAATATAAGGGTGTGTAAATGTTCTAACCTTGCATATTGGGCGGTGTGGATCACGAAGGTTAACCAATAAATTATCACTTTTCAAATCAAAGTGCACTATGTTTTTGCCATGCAAGTACTCCATTCNAACCTCCAGGTCCGTCAAGCACAACCCCATAGAAAGCAACAACGTTGGGATGGTGCAAGTCTGCAAGTTTGATTGCCTCATTCCAGAAGTCATCCCTCTAAATGACAGAAACATTACTCCATATTAATTATGAAGGCAAAAAATGGAAGGAGAATAATACATCACTTTCATTTCGAAGAAACAAACCATGCGGTCTTGTTCTGAAGGTTTTCCAGCAAAACACCTGTCATTAATTCTTTTGATTGCAACATCAGTCCCTCTCCACTTTCCATGATAAACAGTGCCAAAAGTTCCTGATCCCAACTCTCTAATCTCTTCAAGGTCACTATTCTTTATAATCTATGGATCAGCATCATGAGACAGAAACAGTGGAAGTTGGATTACTAAACAAGAAAATAAACTTTTAAATACATCAGTCATTTATTGAAGCAGAATAGAGCGTATATGTCAAACCTGTAAGCTCCCAACGTCACCCGGAGAACCAAAACTTTCCTTCACCGGAAGTTTTGTTTTCACTTCCTGAAAACATTATACGGTTTTAAAAAATGTTGGACAGCCAATACAAGATTACAGACATCTATTGTGTTGCTATACACAAACAAAAAGACCTCGAGTTTATCTCTATATTGCCTTTCTCCTTGACCAATCTGGACTACACCACTCCGTTCACTTGTAGATGGAGAGGAGCCCTTCCCATTATTCGGGGTAGAAGATGAAGGAAGAACAGAAGCAGCTGCGTCTTCAGCAACAGTCTGAAGATCCTGCTTGATCATTAGTTCCTCCCCTGAGTAGACAAAGAAGGAAAAAAAATAGCAAGTTTAAGAGCATAAGAATCCAAAGATGGCAAAGAGACAAGGAGTATGCACGACAAAGAACAAAATTAACTTGCCTTTGTTGGACGAAACATGTTCCAACCCAAAATCCATGTCCAAATAGCTACAAGTATTGTCCTTAAGGAAGCCCTTGTCATCCACTGGGTCCTTTCTCACTTGAAGTTTGTTGGGTTGAAGAGAGAAACGAGCATCGTGATGCTGCATCCTCCATGGGTCTTGGTTGCTGAACTGTGAATTTGCACTTTCCTGTGCACCTCCTCCTAATTCACGTGATGCAGATAGTGATGATCCATTCCCATCTGTTGACATGAAATCAGTGCCACGTGGAATAAGTTCACAACTGCCAAGAGATATCTCATTTGGTGGGACCAAACAGTTAACTCCGGGCTGCTTTGAATGCACAAATACATTACTAGAGTTCCCCAAAAGAGGTTGGTCTTGTGCCCAAATGTTTTGAAAGCATACTGCTTCATTTGGGGAAGTGGGTGAGGCTTCATAAGGCTTTACTTTACTTCTACTCTCGAAAAAATTAGTGTTTCTGATATTATCAACTGTAGGCGACAACTTATTATTAATATTCTGCTCACTATTCACTAGAATATCATCCCGTTGCATCCGAAGGTTTTCCATCTTATCCTCGATATGCTTCAGGTGTCCATAATAAGCATTTGAAGAATCATCGTTCTTACCTTCTTTAGGAAGGGAATTACCAGTGTAGTTATTAGGTGATTCACGGGTAAGGTATTCTGTAGTTGTGGGCAGACGCATGCCAGCAACAAAGAGATCACTCGGAACTGCATTACTAGCCACTGCCTCCGGACGGTATTGCGTCGTAACATTAGATTGAGGGCACTCCAAAAGGGCTCCAGAAGTGGCAGCCCTGGGAAGTTTAAAGGGATCAGATATGATGCTGCTGCTAACCGGGCTACCCCTCTTGTCTTGTGCAACGGTATCTGAATGTGCATGAGGCAATGATTTTTGGCACATGTGACAGTCATCACACCGGGGCATCGGATGAGCAAGAGTCACCACCTGCGCTTCAGAAACCAACACCTGTAGTGGTGGAGAATAAGGAACAAGGTTGTGATGATGGTGCAAGCCATGATGTGGCCCGCCCAACACTGTAGTCTGTTGGGGTTGAAACATAGGCACCAATTTGTTACTACTCATTGTGGTGTGAACTGCAGGAACAAACTGTTGATGGTGAGAGTACACGGGCCCAACCGTGCCCATGAGCTGCGCTGGAAGGCCCATCTGGTGATCCACATAAGGTGGCACATGTGGCGATGGCATTGGGAAACTCACTCCTGCCTGTTGGTTCAGATCATAGCCTGCTGTTTCTTGCTGCAGTAAGGCAGCAGCAACAGGCAAAGGCTTATTGGATAAATGTTCAGATGCAGCAGCAAAAGGAGTGGAAGGACCAGTCATAACCATGGGAATGCCACAAGAAGTAGTGTTCACATAAACCGCGGGGCTACTACTACTACTCGCATCATTGCACGCCATTCTCGAAGCCCCATCCTGCTCAGAAATTGCATCAGAAGATGGTGACCTTGCGATGATGTCTGGATGACCATGGCAATCACCAACCTCAACGCTACTAACGTCCGAGTTCTGAGTCGAAACACTGTTCAATCTCGTTATACCGCCGCTAATTCCGCCATCACTGATTCCGTTCACGGCATCCACATACCGCTGCCGGCTATCCTGCATGTCGGCAAAGTGAATAGTTGCGGCAGCAGGGGAATCAACGTCGCAGGTTGGGAACAGAAACACCCTGAGCTTAGCGGATCCGTCGGATGATCTCTCAACCAGCTTTTGATACTCATCCATCATGTTCTCAAAATCATCTGGGCATGAGATGGAGACGAGGGCGTCGAGGTCCTCGTCTGGCAATTGGTACTTTATCACCGCGTCCCGTCCACATGTATCCGTGAGCTTCTTTACCAGTTCAGGGAAGCTCACGTCCCTTCTGAGGCTGACGATCCTCGTTTGGCCTCCCACATACCTCAAAGCTCCATCACTCGGTCTGGGCAATATTTTCCCTCCGAAACTGCACAAAAACTTCAGTTTCCTACCGGGGGCGGATTCATCGCCGCCGCCGCCCCCTTCGTCGCTGGCGTGATCGGATGCACAGCTGGAGTACTGTGTGTTGAAACTATTGGGAGAGTTCTGACTGAATCCAAGACTAGGGGTCGCGGCAGCCACAACGGGGGTTGGGGGGGCGACCTGTTGGACCCACCTGGCCACGGCGGGAGGGGCGTTGCTAAACCCTAGCCCCACATATCCGGCATCACTGGGCCCACTCGCGGGATAATACACCACGGGTATGGTCCCGCCGCCGGGATTGGCATCCCGCGGGTGGTGAGACGCGAAGTACCCGTCGATTGGCCTGCCGGAAGACGTGGCCGGAGAGATGCGAGGATCTTCTGGAAGCGTCCTGCTGCCGATGTTCAATGGCCGTAAATCATTGGGCGTTGAGTTCTGTTCATTCTTCTTCAATGGCATCATAAATTCTTTTACCAATTCCGGATTTTGCAAAACCAAAACCCTTGTTTTTTTTCTTTCTTTCTTTGAAATTAAAAAAAAATCAAAAAAAAGGGAGAGAAAATCAATCCCGGCTGAATTCCCCTCCTGCACGCAGCCTTATATATCTTCAATCAATCAGCTGCTTGCGTCAAATTAACAGAAGGATGTGAGGTTCGAAGCATTATATATTATACATCATCATCATCCTATGCAATCAGATAACTCGATTATATGTGCCCGCCCGACCCGACCCAATTCGCAGAATAGCATTAGAAAGCGGAAAACACGGAATTATGAGAAGAAGAAGAAGAAGAAAAAGTACCAATTTTGGCGGTGGCAAGCCCGGGAAATTGAACAATCTCTATGTCTTGTCTCTCCGAGTATTCTTCTTCTTCGTCGAGAAAGAAGCTGTGAGAATGAACGAATGGATGAATGAAAGAGACGAGATTGGGGGGTGAAAGAAAGAGAGAGAGAGAGAGAAAAGAAGGATGGGGTTATTATAGTTATGGGGGACTGTACGGTAGCGCGCGTAGAAAAAAGCTTCCGTGAATCCGTATACTGTTGAAACTAGGGATGACCATTCAATCCGAACCCGAGCTCAACTGACCCGACCGATCACCAAAATATCCGAACCCGAACCGAGTATAAAATAATTCGAACCCGCTAAAGCTAGCGTTGGCCGGAAAACGCTCCGACCCGTCGGCGGTTTCCGGCGGGTCGGAGCGTTTTCCGGCTAAATCCGGCGAAATTGACGGCGGGCACCAACTCCAATGCGGTCGTGGCATCCGGGCGACCTCCAAGGACCCATCAATTGCAAGATTTGATGAAGATTTGCAAAACCCCAAATTTTGGATCCAATTTCGAATTTTAGGGTTTTTTCGAGTAGAAAAATTCAGATTCGAGAAATTACAGGCCAAATTAGACAAAATGGTTTGGATATTATTGATCCTCGTCTCAAGACGAAGAGAATGACATTGGTCCCGCCGGAATCGGAAAAAGTTCATTTTCCGGCGACTTTGACCGGCGGGCGGCGACGGCGGGGCGTGGAAGAAAAGAAAAGAAGAAATGGGGTCAAATTGAAAATTTTAAAATATATAAAATTCGAATTTGGCCCTAATGACCGGAAGTTAACCTAGAAACGGGCTAATGGCTCATTAGTGAAAGGATTGTGTAAGTTCAGAGATTTTTGTGAAAGGATTTGAAGTTCAGGTACTACTTCGAAATTCCAGCTAAAGTTCAGGTACCATTTGTGAAATTTACCCTCCGAACCCGACCCGAAATTTTTTACCCGAACCCGACATCGGGTCAGGTCGTGTGTGGGTTTATTATTTTACCCGACCCGACCCGACTCAAACCCGAATATTTTATAACATAAAAGTCTATCTATAGATATAATAAGCACTCTGTATAATCTCTTGACAAAGTGCTACTATATCAAGTATGTCATTTATAATCATTTTTATAATTCCTTAATAAAAAATGAGACACAAAAAAAATTAGATTTAATCTTTTTAAAATTATTGGGGTACATTGAATTGATTAATGGTTAAAAGTCGGGTTCGGGTTTTGGGTTGGAATGTCGGGTTCGGGTCGGTTCGGGTTTTTGGCTTAAAAAGTCGGGTTTCGGGTTTTGGTTTTAAAAGTCGGGTCGGATTCGGGTATAGTACTATCCTACCCGAACCCGGCCCGTTGCCATCCCTAGTTGAAACAGATACGCCCTCTGCTCCCTCTCTACGAACATATTATTATTATTATACCTGCACCACTCGGGTCGGCCTGTTCCGCCATGAGCGACCCATTTGAGTCTTTGTGGATTTGGTTGGCCGACTTACTACATAATGTGAACGAATATATGTTTTGCATTTGGCCCACGTGAACCATCAAGCCCGTCCACATCCCTGCATGAAAAAAAATACTCTATAAACATGCACAATATATTATGCAAGTATATCTTTTTGTTATTTTGATTAAAGCAATTATAATTATCTAACAATATATGATGTAACAATTATGTTATAATCATTTTAAATTGAAAAAATATTACACATTTTTCCACCTATTTCAATAAGAATTTTATAAAGCATATACTCAACCAAACACTTTGAACCAAAGATTATGTTATAATCATTATGTTATAATCATTTGGTTTTGATTTGTAGCAATTATGTTGTAATCAATTTATTTTGATTTTCTTCAACCGTTTCAACCAAAGATTCTTTAATGACCATATTTACCAATAAAGAGTTTACAATGGTTTGTCCTCAGTAGTCTACAAAATACTCTTTATTAATCTTAGACTCGCGTGTTTCCAATGCTTAATTAAGCCCACTGATTAATTAGCACACGTGCATCAACGGTAGATACGACTCCTTACTCTTGGGCGGGAAAAGGCTTAATTTTTTTCTTTTTCTTTTTTTTTCTCTTCCATTTCTTTTGCTTTTGTAGATAGTATAGATATAATATTTTATTTTGTATAGAAGACAATTTTATATAATGATTTTATACGCTATGACCATAAATAAAAATTAAAGTCAGAAATAATTTGTTCCAAAAATAAAACTACAAATATTTGAGTTATCAATGTTTGAGTATGAACAAATATAAGTGAATGATTTAAATTAAGATTCACATGAAATCAATTACTCTTTCCGTTCTTAAAAGATTGTCACAGTTTGATTTTTTTCACCAAACTGTGACACCTTTTGATCAAGAAATAAATATAGTTTTAAATAATTAAATATTATAAAATTTTAATATTTCAACACTGTATTTTTAAAATAGATCTAATTTTATTAAATTTACATTATAACTAAATATACTTTTACCATAATTCACAGTTAAAAAGCACTACAATTTGACTATAAAAGTCAAACTTTGATAATCTTTTACGACAAAGGGAGTATTACGTTACATTCCAAAAGTGAAAACAAACACATTACACAACATATTGACAAAGTATTTTCAAATTAAAAAAAATAAAATAAAAGATATCTGTAGTGGAGCAGACTCATTGACTTTAATTTTTATTTATGACCATAGCGTATAAAATTATTATATAAAATTGTCTTCTATACAAAATAAAATATTATATCTATACTCTACAAAAGCAAAAGAAATGGAAGAGAAAAAAAAGAAAATAAATTAAGCCTTTTCCCGCCCAAGAGTAAGGAGTCGTATCTACTGTTGATGCACATGTGCCGATTAATCAGTGAGCTTAATTAAGCATTGGAAACACGAGAATTTAAGATTAATAAAGAGTATGCATGAATTAAAATTTTGATCGTGAGAGAGTAGAAAGGTCACCGTGTGAACCTAAACATCCTTTGCATTTTCTAAAGATTAAAAAAGTACTATAGAGGTTCTTTATAATTTTCTCCCTCGGAGCTTTGCATTTTCTAGGTGCACACGGTGACCTTTCCACTCTCTCATTATCAAAATTTTAATTAATGCATACTCTTTATTAAACTTAGATTCGCGTGTTCCCAATGTTTAATCAAGCCCACCGATTAATCGGCACAGGTGCATCAACGATAGATTCGACTTCTTACTCTTAGGCGAGAAAATGCTTAATTTTTTTAACATACAGAAAATGCCTCTCACATTAAATCTACGTATTTGTCTCTGCAACTTCCTAATACAACATTTAAGAAAAGGGTAATTTACCTAAATAAGACTAAAACATAATAACTTTCTCAATATAGGATCATATGTTTTTATTTCCCAATGTAGGATCATTGGTCATTATCTATTAATCATTATTCAACCAAATGTCCATCACTTGAACATTATCCTTCACACTAGTCATTATTTAGGGAATAAAAAAATTTAAGTTCTACATTGGGAAATGACTAATGCTTTAGTCCTATTCAGTGTAAATTTCACTTTAAAAAAGGTAATTAACTCAATTCACGTGCAAACCAGATGAAACTCTATAACAGCGCAGCCGTGGATCTACCATGTAAATAAGATGGACTGACCAGATTGGCGAGCGGAGGCGGGAAACTTTTATTTTTATTTTACAAAAAATTCTGTGATTTCTTTTGCTTTTGTAGAAAAGAATACAAATATTGTTTTTAATGTTAAAGATCTTGTAATCTAATAACATCATCGATGTGGTTCTCTGAAATGAGAATCCATCTTATGGTCGAGAGGCTTCATGGTTGAGGAAAACTATGAGCTTATACAACTAATAAAAAATGACATAATATTAACTTTTGTCGCCACATAATATTAATTTTCAAATCATATTGAACAATTTATATAAAGTACTACATTTGTTACATTTGTTTCAAATTATTTGTATAATTTCAATTTTTTTGTAGTCAAAATTGAAAAAAATTCACTATTAATTAAATTAAATTTTTATTTGGTATTCAAAAAAATTAGGAGAAATTTACTTAAATAGCGTTAAAATATAATGATTTTTCCTAAACAAAATTGATTATTCTTTTTTTGGACATTATTAAATTGCTAAGTGGGGAAGCAATCTGGACCGCTGAGCAATTGGACGCAAAGCTGCATCTTCATCTTCTTGAGACCATCTTCCTCTTCAAATCCAAGGTTTAAAATCATCTTTTGATCATTAATATATCAATTTTGTGCTTGTTTATTCATCTATTGTATGCTTTCATTCTTGAGCAAAGATTCACCTCTTAGTTGTAAAAATAAAATTTCTAGTGCTGTTTCTTCTAGCTTTAGAAATGAAAATTCTAGTGGTATTGAACCTAAGCGCGAATCTTCGTGTGTTCTGGTTTATTGACGTAATCTAATGTCGATTCAATTTTAACATGGATTTCTAAATTTCTTCAATTGGGTTTCGATTAAAACATGGGTTTTGTGGTATTTTCAAATTTAAGATAAAAATTGGGGCTTCTTTATTTTAAACACTTCCTCCATCCCAAAATAAAAATTGGGGATATTTTTTGTTAGTTTAGATATGTGTTTGTCATTTTTTGAAAACATTACGAGTTTTTATTTCTGTTTATCTGCATTTCTGTTTTTTAAATAGTGGGAGTATGTCTGGAGTATTATCAATTCCATCAATAAATCTGAATTTCTTAAGTTAGTATTTGTAGAATTTTGGAAAAACTGAACTGCCTTTCATTCAATATTCACAACGTATATATACATGTGTCAAGTCCTACTACAAGTATGGAAAGGACTACTTACAAGGAAATAAATTACAAAGTAAATAATTACATATATGGAAGGAAATAAATATATATGCTAACACTCCCCCTCAAGTTGGAGCATGGAGATCACAAATGCCCAACTTGGATAATAAGAATGCGAAGAGAGGCCTGTTCAAAGCCTTAGTAAACAAATCAGCAATTTGTAGACGAGTAGGAACATATGCGGTAGCGATCTCACCGCGCTGAACACATTCACGGACAATGTGGCAATCAATATCAATATGTTTCATACGCTCATGAAAAACAGGATTGGCAGCAATAAATAAAGCGGACTTATTATCACAAAACAAACGTGGCGTCGGCGGTGGAGCAATGCTGAGCGCTCCAAGAAGACCGCGAATCCATCGTACTTCTGCACATGCGTTATCCATAGCACGATATTCAGCTTCTGCTGATGAACGGGACACGGTGGTTTGTTTCTTTGTTTTCCAAGAAACTGGAGAGCCACCCAGAAGAATGAAGTAGCCGCTAACAGAGCAACAAGTAAGAGGACAAGATGCCCAGTCGGAGTCACTATAAGCAGATAGCGGTAGTGAACTGTCACTACGTAAGAGAATAACCTGACCTGGATGACCCTTCAAGTAGCGAAGGACCCGTTTGGCAGCTTCCATGTGATCAAGGCGAGGAGCATGCATAAATTGAGACAGAACATGAACCGAATAAGTGAGATCCGGACGAGTGGTCGTGAGATAAATTAAGCGACCCACAAGTCTCCGATATTGTGCAGGGTCATGAAGCTCGACGCTAGTCGACCTACCTAGCCCGTGGTTCGGCGTAATGGGTGTGTCGACTGGTTTGCAGCCCAAGAGACCAGCTTCATGAAGGATGTCGAGTGCATATTTCCGCTAACAGAGAACAATACCCTTCGCAGATCGAGCACACTCAATGCCCAAAAAATAAGATAAGGGTCCCAAGTCCTTCAG